GTCTCCACAGGATGCAAGTGGGCAGTTTCAAGCAAAATAATAATTCCCTGCTGCTGCTTAAGGAAAAAACAGTCAGCCAACCCGGCAAGTGTGGCAATGGGATTTAACTAATGAATGTGCTGAATTCCTCCCAGCTCCTCACTGCCGGAATCAAGAAGGGAATTAGAAAAAAAACCACATATTTTTGTGCATTTCTGATCTTTTGCAGTTTGGATTTCTCTTTCAGGACTACAAAGAAAGGTAAATATTGGATGCCTATTCTTAATGCAAAATCCTTTTTAGAGACATAGTTGTTCCTCATGGATGCTTTTTTCTCTCACGTATTTTGCCTCTGTTTTGACATGAACCTCACCCGAGTGAGGAGAGAGAGGAACATCAGAAGAAATGCATGTCCCCAGCACAGGGCTCAGGAGGGCACACAGTCCAGTTCTGATAGTCATTCAGGTGGCCTAAAAGGCCAGTTATTCCCCTGCCAGTGAAGGTTTCCAAATCTGAAGGTCCATGGGAATTACCTGTGCAGCTGCCTTTCAGTCCTCAAGAATGACCTGGCAAAGGGGAACCAGAGGAATCCCCAACAACAAAAGGAATCTGGGCAAGGAGACTTTTTCAACTGCTGTTGAAACAAACTGGTTGTGGAGTATGGGAAGAAGATGCAGATACAAAAAATCTCTATGACGGTTTGTAAGTGACCATCAGAGAAGTTGATTCTCTCATTGAGAGGGCTGAGTTGTACAGACCATGCTGAGGAATGGGGAGGCAGCTGAGAGAGAGGAAAACACGTTGGGGTTTCATATTCCACCTGGAGCTTTTAGTCTCTCTGCTAGCCAGTGGGATGAGCAGATTTTTTTTTCAGTAAAACCTGTGAGTCTCCAGAGCAGTGTGCCTGTGTGCCTGTTCACACAGCTGCTGATGGCTTGGCAGGGGCAGCCAGCCAGACCAGTGCCTGTTGAGGATCTAAAGCAGGATTGCTGGTCCCACCACAGTGGACAGGGACTCTCTTCTCAGCTCTTCCTGGCAGAGACACCCCTGCAGACACTGCCAGCCACCTTCTGCACCACAGGCTGCAGTCCCACATCTCCTGGGASAGGCCATGTGCAGGGAATAGAACATTTCACTCTCCACATCACCGTGAGAGATGAATCAGCAACAAGTTCTCAAGCTTTTCTTCTTATTTCCCCCTTTTTTCAGTAATTGAAATTAACCAGAAATTCACATTCAACTTGCCTCACCTCACAGCAAAATTTCTCCTCTGTCTTATCCTCTCTTTTGCGTTGAACCTCAGCCACTTAGTCATGCCTAAAATTACACTTCTGTAACCATGATGTAATACACTCCCCATGTGTCAGAGCATTAGGACAATAATAGCAATACTTAGGTCTAACCCTGTTCCCTTTTTCCTGTCTCTACCTACTAGAGATGCTCCTTCCCAACCTGGTTAAAATTTGCCAGAGTCTTGCAGCTCCTTGGGCTGGAAGAAGTGATCCCACAAAAGGGATTGCAATGGGAACTCAGAGAGCACAAGGCTGGCTTCAGGTAAAAAAAAAGCAGGTAAAAGGAGATTAAAAAAAGAAAAAAGGAAAACAGTAATCAACCTCAAAAAAAAGCAGCCAAAGCACCAATAAAACTTATCAGATCAAATAAARGGTTTCTGCCTGCACTCACAGGATTTGAGTGGCTTCAGACATATCAGTTCTTCCGTTCTTACTCACGCTGTCTCTTCTCCCTGGGAGGCTACAGCAACAGTCACATCTGACACCTCTCACCAGTGCCAGTGCAAGCTCTCTGCCTGAGCTCTGAGATTTCCCAGCCAAGGGTCAGTCCACGCTGTGGCTCCATTTCTTGTMCCTGACTCCTTGAATCAGCAGCTGCTCCTTCTGCCTTCCCTTTACCTTTGCTGTGCACCGGATCCCTTCCTCCCACCCTGAGGAGGTACCTGACCATGAACTGATGGAGAGCCAGGATGCATGGACGCAACACGCAGTATTGGTTGTTGTTGGGGGTGCTGGCCACAGCTGTCCAGGGAATATTCCTCCCTCTCTGGCCAGTATTCCCTTAGCTTCCACTGCCCTGTTGCTGTGGAAGGAGCAGTGGCCCCGCCCATGCTGTCCTGTCTATGATGCAGCCCCTTCTGCCACCTTGGTGACGGCACATCCTGAGCCTCCACGAGGTTTGCGAGGCACTGGCACCTGCTGTCCCTTTTCTTCCACCAAGGCAGATAAATAGGACACAGCGTGTAATACACATCAGCCACAAAAGAGGCCACATCCCTGCCAAGCAGCTCTCTGCTTGGCCATAAAGCAGCACAAATGTTTGCCATGCAGAGCCCCAATTCAGCTGGCTGCTCATCCAAGCATGGGAGCATCTCCTGGGAAGGGTTCAGCTGCCCACAAGGGCTGTCCCTGTGCCAGGCATGGGAGCAGACCAGAGACTTCTTATGAGGAGATGGTCTGGGCTCATCACTTCTCATCAGCCATGTACTCTGGAACCCTTTTAAATACTGCTGAAACCCTGAGGCACGTCCACACCCAACCCAGGCTGCTCCATCAGGACAGAGGATGTCAGTTCAGACCTCTGCAGCCATGACTTGCAGAACAGAGAAAATACAAACATCCCACTAGTCAGTCCTGCTGACAGACCTGGGATGTCCTTTCTAGTGCAGAGACCCTTGCCTTGCTGGGAAGGGAGTAAAATACTTGTTAAGTTCAAAATAATGATCTGAATATTTTTATTAAATAATTTTAAGTACAGCCCTAGAGCTATTAAAAAATCACAGAGTGGTTTGGGTTAAAGATCATCTCTTTCCAACCCCCCCTGCCATGAGCAGGGACACCTTTTGCTAGACAAGGTTGCTCAAAGTGCTGTCCAATCTGGCCATGAACATTTCCAGGGATGGAGCATCCAGAGGTCCTTTGGACAGCCTGTGCCAGTACCTCACCACCCTCACAGGGAAGAATTTCTTCCTAATACCCAATCTAAACCTATCCCTTTTTAGTGTAAAGCGTTTCCCCTTGTCCTTTCACTCCATGCTTTTGTCACAAGTCCCTGTCTATCTCTCTGGGAGCCCCTTGAGGCACTGGAAGGGGCTCTAACGTCTCTCTGGCACCTTCTCKTCCCCAGGCTRWATAACCCCAACTCTCTCAGCCTGAAAGAGCCTAATGTCAGCATTAAATACTCATTGAGTATTTAATGGTAACAATTAGCAGAAATTTCACTAAATCAACAGCTCATTAGCTAGGTAAGTAGATGACTTTTATAAAGTCCTCGTGGCACAAGCAGCCTATGAATTGACTCCATGCAGCTTGAAATTGTATAATCCTGCCATGACCTCACTTCCAGGCTTTAGTCAGAGCCCAGGAGCTAAGCAGTGGCTTTGCTCTGGGTGGCTGAGAGGGACATTTGAGGAAGGGATCAKAGCAGAGCCAAGTCTCACTGGCAGCTGTGCTGCTGTCTGCTCAGAGTCACGGCTGCTCTGACTCGAGAGTGAGCCTCGGAGCCCCAGCTTGATCCTGCAGRGATGCAGCAGCTCCATCTCTGCGCTGTGCAGTTTGCTCCTCTGACACATGCAGGGGTGAGGGCAGTGAGAAAGAATGAGTCAAGCCAAAGCATCCCTAAACTTCATCYTTTTGAGGTATTTTCCATCCTGAGAAATGCAGTGGAAATGTCAGCAACGGCTGCGTGAGCAGGGTTGCAGTGCTCCCGTCACGCTGGCCCCAGCAGTAGCCAGACCACTGAGAAGTTTTGATGAAATAAATTTCCCTGAAGGAAACTACACAAACCACAGGGCCACAGCCCAAGCTGAGAGCAGCGCTGTGGAAAAGGAAAAAAATACTGCAGGCTTGTGAAGAGCCACATTCACTGAGACCCACACCAGAGCTGCAAAAAGGTAAAGGTGGTGATGGACCACAGCTGCAGCCTTTGTGTCCTGCRTAGTGGCAAGGTGAGAGACAGCCCCAGGGTTCCATGGAACAGACACCACGGTGAACAAATAGGGATTGGTTTGGKTTTTTTTACACCACTTCCTTTCTTTGCCCTTCAGACAACTCTGTGAGAAATGTTTCAGGGCCAGAAATCACAGATGTTGCCTTTTGGGGACAGCAGCACTCCTGCTCAGCCACAAAGTCTCTGGCTCCACTCGAGCTCAAAACTGGTTTGAGATCAGGCCCTTCCTGATGGCCAAAGTGGGCCTGGGCTGCCCGGTGTGTGCCGCCCACACCACACCTCCCAGGCCCCAGATCCTGAGGTTTTGATGCTGGAGCTCCAAAGCCTCATGGAAATGACCCTGTGCACTGCCAAGCAAAGAGGGATGAGGCTCCCAGATTTCTGCCATGCTGCTGGAGAAGGAGCAAAGTGCTGACCCCTGATCACAACGGACCTCAGCGCTTTGGCCACGGCAGAAGCCTGCTKCACCAAATGAGGAGAGGACACTACCACTCACTAGAAAAATATACCTTTATTTACCATCTGTGTTTTGCTCAAGAGAGAACATCTCATGGCAAGGGGCCAGCCGCAGTCATGTAGCTGACAGGTGCCAGCATGCCAGCATGCCTGCTCTGCAGGGGTTGGCACTCCAGGCCTCCATGGAGCACCCTCATGAGCTGAAAGGGCAGGAGAGGAGTTGGAGGTGCTGCTTTCACCTCGAGCCTCACTGCCCTGCACTGCTGTGATGCTCAGGCTCCATCAGCAGAGCCTGTGACCTCCCCACCATCCTCACCACCACAGTGGGGTCATGCTTTCCCTTCTGAGATACCCCCATTGCCCGTTCCTTGCAAGGCAGTTGGGGTGAGTTAAATAAAGGGGTTGGGGAGCGTTTTCAGGGATAGAAGCAGTCGATAACTTAACACAAAATGAACACAGCAGCTGTCCCAGCCCAGCACAGCCAGCAGGCAGTGCCTGTCCTACAGCAGTTAGGGCAGGGTGGCCTGCCATGGCTTGGGATGAGCAGTTGTTCACACTATTCATTGCCACACCACTGTCTGTGGTGTCGTGGCATAACCCAGACAGCTCCTTAACACCCACCAGCTGTCCCCACCAGGGCTGGTCCCAGCATCTTCTCACGTAGCAAGTGTTGAGCTCCAACAGGGTCCTCAGCACGCCACGTTTGTTGGGTTTTTTTTTGTAAGGAGAACCTGTGCAATTCTCTTCAGGCTGATGCAGAACAGCCCTGGTGCTTTCCAGGTGTCTGCTTTYAAGCCTTTACCAGTTGCTCAAACTCCCTCACGCTGAAAGCCAAACACGGTTCCTCGGTGGGCTTTGTGGTGCCACTGTGCTCAGGCAGCACTCACCCCTCACACATCCATATGTGTAGGGAAGGAGCTGCCAGCCACACTCCATTTCAAAGCTTAAACAAACCAAAAAAAGTCTTGGATTCCTCAAAATTCACCAGAGCTATTTTGGAGACGTTGACGTGCAAACTGTCCCTCTTCCTGAGCTTGAAGAGAGCGCCCAGGTAGCTGTTCCGGGCCCACATCCTCTGGCCTGTGCAGTAGTTGATGGCTTTGTCCTCCATGAGCACGAGGCTGCCCGGAGAGGCCGGGTTCCTCTTGTACACCACGTGGGACAGGAGCTGGCTGTCGCAGGCGCTGCCGCGGAACAGGATGTTGGAGTACACGAAGTACAGCCCGGTGTCGTTGATGACCAGCCCCCGGTCACGGTACTGGATGCCACTGGTGTAGGCGTGGCCAGAGATGGGCTCCCACTCCAGAGGGAGATCCTGCTGGGCTGGGTTCCCTGGGAGCCCCAACAAGGCAAAGGAAAAGTGTTAAGTATGTTTGGTTGTGGGATTTTTCCTCAGGTCACGACAAGCCAACCATTCTCCAAGCGTGGAAAGTCCACCCTGACCTCACATCTCACCAACGCCAGCCCCCCGTGACAGCTCCTGCCCTGCACACCCCAAAAACTGATCCAAAACCAGGCCTCAATGAGAAGCACAAATGAGGGGAAGGTTTTATCTGTGGAGTGACTTTCCACTGTCAGAGCGCAAGGAAACCCAAGGAAAATAGGAAAAGCTGTATGAGATGGGTTCCTCACAACCTCAGCCATGCCACCCTCTGGTCCCACCACACATGCCCATTCCCCTGCTCCCCCAGCACGTACCTGTTAAATGGGCTCCCTTCCTCGCTTCCTTTCTCAGTGACTGCTGCTTCTGCCCTGCACAAAGACAKGGAAGACATTGCCCACGTGCTCCATGGAGAAGACAGCCCAGAGAGCAGGGGGGAGCCAGCCACAAAGCTGACACCTGAGATCCTGYGAACCATCCCACTGGCCAGGCAGAGCACAGCTGGGAAATCTCTGCCTTCCCTGGAGGGCTGAGTTCCCTTTGGAGAGATGGACCAGTTCCAGTGACTCCGTACTTGGATCCCATTCTACTCCATCCTTCACTTTTATTCAATATCTACCTCATGTTCTCTGATTTTAGAAGCAGCCTTTTTTTCCCCAGGCCAATTAAATTTTCCTCTCTGCTTCCCCTTCTCCTTTATGCTATTTCCCTGTTTCTATTTATTTATCCATTACCCTCAAAAAATTCAGGGTTACTATTTATGTTCAGYTTCTGCTGAAGAAGCCTGTGGTTGGAGCACTGAGCATCCAGTTCAAATGGCAGCTYCCTTTCTCCTGAAGGGGAAAATTTATTCATATGAGACTTGATGAGAACCAGGGCTGCCCTTTCCCAAGAATTTTGCTGTTTTCAGGGTTTTTTTGATTCAGTATCAGAACAAATTTGAAAATAAATTAAGTTTTMTAATACCCAAAATGCTCAAGGAGGGGAAAAAAATTAAAACTTTTCAGATCTAGCAAAAACTGTCAAAGAAGTTAAAACTTCCTTCTAATTTGCCCATCTTTAAAAAGGATATTTTCACTTATTAACATGGAATGCAAAGAAAAGCAATCATTTGGAAGTTAAAAATATGATTTTTTAATTGTTCCACTCAAAGTGAAACTCTTTGGGTTTTTTCCTAAGTGAAATCTAGAAAAATTGGCAAGTTCTTGTGAGAAGTTTCAATTTCACTGGGTTCCTCCTCCAGGCACAGACTCACCTATGAGTTTCTCCAAAGCTGGAGGGATGTGCTCAGCGCTGGCAGACTGTCAAAAGAGAAGAGAGACACTGGCTTAGAGTGAGAGCAAGGRCTGGCTTTGACAGTGGCTCATTCTGAGCGTTCATGAGGGGCTGCAAAGTGCTAAGAAATAAACAGGGAGAGACCTGGCAGCATTCAGGATCATGAAGATATCCAGATACATCAGTCCCTCAAGCACCCACCCTTATTCTGTCACAGCAGACACTGAAATGCTACCATCCTGTCCCTTGGGAAGCTTTGCACCACCTGAGCACCTCAGACACGATTCCCAAGTGTTTCTTTTTCCCTGTTTCCCCGGGGATCTGTGACCTGTGACCAGCCAGGCARACCTCACCTCTCTGAGTTCATCCAGTTCCTTCTCCAGGTGAAAAATCTGATACATGCTCAGCCCCACTCCAGTGAAGGCCACCAGGATCAGCAAGAACATCACGAGGAAGCCGACGCTCCTTCTTTCCGTCCTGCTCCCTGGCTTTTTCCTCCTGTCGGGTACCGGCGGTGGGAAAGGAGCCACAGGCGGTGCCGGGGCGCACGGAGCCCCTGCATCAGCACAGCCGTCCACCCAAAAGATCGGGGGGTACGCGTAGTTCAGGTTCTGCCGCGTGGCCGGGAGCGGAACGGGCCGGACGTGCCTGCTGGGCTCTTCCCTGCGACATCCGAAAGCTGCCGGGCTTGTCCCCGCCGGAGCCCTGGGGGTACAGCCGGCTCTGCCCTGGTACGGCTGCATCCCTGCGGCGAGCAGCCAGCTCGGATGCTGCGACTCTGAAAGCCTCAAGCATCAGCAGCAAACCCCAAATCGCTTCCGGGCCCGGCCGCTCCCCCCACAGCCCCCGCTCCCGGCTCGGGGCGCGGGGGCTGCGCTGCCGCCCGGCTCAGCGATCCCACACCCTCAACAGCGGCACAACGGGACACGAGGAGCTGCCGCTTTCCCACTGCCCGTCCCGGACCGCCAGCTGAGCAAAAGGAGCCGCAAACTCTTGGCATCTTGCACCGCAAGGGAGAGACAGAGCGGAGGACTCTGCTCTCGGCGGGAGGATGAAGCGTTGTCAAGAGGGATGCCGAGGAATCGCTTCATTCCTTCCCGCTGCCCGTTGTGCATCCCACCCTTTCCTTGGCAGCTCCGCAGGCACAGAACACAGACGGTATCCTGCTGAGATAAAAACCTCTGTGAGAAGGGGAAGACATTGCGAATGCTGCAGCCTGAGCAGAGCTGCCCCAGCAGAGCCAATTCAGGGGGCTGCCCTCCTGCCTTCCAAGGAAAAACCCAGAATCCAGACATGCTGCAAGTACCAGCACTTCTAAGAGCTCATTACAAAATCCTAACGAAGAGAGACGGGGACCTTTCCATTTCTCAATTTCCACTCCTCATTTACTGCAGATTTCTAAGTAGTGACAATGAGATTTCCCCACAGATTTACAGGTGCACACAAGCAAYTGTAAACATTTTGTTCTTGCATTTTACAGACCCGTGTTGAAGTGTGCGTTTGTAGTGTTTAAAAAAGGAAATGCTTAACACAAGACAAATCTGGAGATTTTTATCCTGTGGCTGAAGGAAGCAATCACAATACACAGCCTTTGATCTTCAACATCAAAATTGCGATTTAAGAAGAGCACATCTGAACAATCCATTTACACTTTTTTCTCCAAAATGAGGGCTCAGCTTTGCCTGCAACCACTCCAATAAATYAGATGTGTTGACAAAGCCTTTCCTGCCCACCAGACACCCCATTGCTTTCTGGAGATGTTCCCCACAGCCCTTTGCTGCAGCAGTGATCCACAGCACAGACCYTTCCTTGAACTTCTGTTTCTGACATAAAAGACACAGAAGCAACATAAATCCAACTCCAGCAAGAAATTCAAGCTTTGTCATGCCTACCCTGGCTCAGTGCTCCCCTCTGTATCCCAGAACAGCATTTCCCAGCCAMCCAAGGACAGGTCCCCAGCCACCCAAACTATTACAAGAGAGGGTGACACAACAGCTTTGCCTGGCAAGGACCCACTGCCACATCTTTCTGTCACCACATTTAATGCCAAGAGCTTATTGAGGTGGGATTGAGGACACAGCAGCAGTTTCCCTTAAATGTCAGGAGTGTTCTAAATTCTCACCCACTGCTTCCTATTTCACAAAGATGCTTTCTTGATGGGTGGGTGAGAGAGAGAGACAAGGAAACCAACTGAAGTCATTTCAGCTGCACCTTCTCTTTTGGATGCCCAGATCAAGAGCSTGCTAACACCACATGTGGCAAACCAAGGATTGGGGCTTTTAYCATCAAAAGATGCTTAGTGCACAACACGTTTCAGGACCTCTCCTGCTCTGGAGTTGGAAGGAACCTCTGGAGATCCTCTAGTACATAAAAAAGTAGGTTCTGGTGCCTGCAGGCTCTGTGATCTGTGGGCTTCCTGCTGCTCAAGTGACACAGGATATTTASAGGGCCATTGGAATGAAAGCAGGACAATTTGCTGAAGGTAGACATTTTAGTCACATGGATTTTGCTAGAAGGCTTAGAGCCAGAATTTAAACACGGCTGAGCCCTCCTAAAATATGGGGCAAGGAYAGCTGGGCAGGGAAAAAGAGGGCATAAGAAGGACAAAAGGGGTGTCAGATTCCCCTCTGCCACCTATCCCCCTCTTGAACCAGCCTGTACTCTCTGTTTCCAGCAGTTCTGTTATGCCATTTGAACAGGAAGGAATATTTTCCAATGGAAACACCTTCCCTAGCCCCTATCAGAGAACTGTTCCTCTGCCAAACCCAACAAAAAGCATTAAATAGAGTGAAAAAAAGGATTTGCTCAGAACACTCTCCATCCCCAGTTCACCTCCAGAGGAGAGGTGGGAGCTCCTGTAAACAAGAAATACAATTATGCTGAAGCTGATGGCAGAGAATCAGCCCACAGCTAAAAGTTTGTATCAGCAGATTTGGGGACAAAAGGATGAGCTGCCTGAAACACCCCAAACAAAGCAAGACTTGAACAATGATCCAGATCTAATACTTGACAGAAAATAAAACCTGAAACTTAAAACAAAAACTGAAGTGTGAACCTCTGTGTAGGAGAGGCTCTCATCATGTTTTGGACAGACTCTGTCTGGAAGGAATTAACAAATATTTCCTATTACACCAGTGACTAGTGGAAATGCTAAAAAGCAACTCTAAAAGCCAACAGGGCTGCATCAATTACACCCAAGAGCAACTGAGAAAGTAAAGAATCTTTYATATTCAAAAAAACAAGATTCAAAACTGTGAAGGCAGAGATTTGAATAAGAAAACATGTCAAGAAAYGAAGACTGCAGATCAAGCTCTTTAGGCAGAAAACAATGTACTAGAAAGAAAACAACTCTGAAACTGAGAGGCTTCTCAGCTGAACATGGGCTTCCAACAGGGAAAGCCCACAGGCTCCCATGAGAGCTCCCATGCAGCTCTAGACAGCTACAGACACTCCTGGAAATCACAAATCTTTGTTCAWCTTCAGAGAGGCTCTGGAAGAAGCTGTAATACCTGCTGGGGTTCGATTCTGTCTATTCAAGAGCAGATGGGCAGGGAGGGATGGATGGTGTGTGGAAAACCTGTAGAGAAGAATGATTTCCAGCAGCAGGAAGCTCTTAAATCTTACAGAATAAAAACCTTCCCAGAGAGCCATTAATTGGGAGCCAAAGCTGGAGGAATTTGAACAAAAAGGAAGTCATGGATTTTTGACTGAACATTGGTATGGATGCTCATGACTGCTGCCTGCAAAGGCAGAGGATCTTCATGTGCTGAACCGTCAGAGGGGCGTGGAAGGCACCAGAAYTCACCCAGCCTTTGCAGTCAGCACTGACATCTTCACATTGTTTCATTACATGCTTAACAGTTCGGTTTCTCAAATGAGGGCGATGCCTTTCATTTCCTCAACAATGCTCCCCTTGCTAGGAGCATCTGCAGCACATGTAAAGCCAGACTGGGGACATTCAGATACTCACACTCGAGAGCAGTTTCCAAGTCCATTGTTAACAGCTCTGGCCTGGCACTACAGTGCTTRACAAGTCCCTCATGCAGTGAGGAARGTGCTCTGTCCTCTCCTTCCTCCAATCCCAATAATCATCATGATGAATTTGGCAATCCTGAATTCACCAAAAGAGGCACAGGGTCCTGTGTGGGGAGAGAATCTAAGGAGACAAAGCAGCTAAGAAAAAGAGGAATATTAAAATATTACTCTGCTGCTTTCATGTCTTTTGTGTCTGTAGTAAGTGCRGGGAAATGAGTTATAGTGGTTAGGAGGTAATGGGATCTTTCTGAGAAACAAAGATCATTTCATATTGTACAACAGCTTAGTCCCAGGACAAAATGGAGCGAGGGGCTGTGGCCACTCACAAGTTGTGAGAAGACCAAGAAAACCTGCAGATGTTGCATTCCTGTCCTCCCCAGTGACAGCTGAGAGAAGGACAGGACATTCACAAGCCCTTCTACAGGGTCTGTGCCCTGCCCCAAAGCCAGCCTTGGCTCTGGAAAACACCAGCTGGCTCTGCTGCCCAATGGGGTTGGGATGGCACTTGACAATTTTATTTCTTCTTGGGAGCAGCCATTGTCAACCCTTTCAAAACAAACCAACAGTAACTGTGTTAAATTATAGAAATGTCACTGGCTGCTTCCAGTTATTTTTCTGGGAGAAGAGAAATAGACAGGAAATTCTTGATTGTTGCGAGGTTCCAACCCCATCGAACAAGGGAGAAACAAGCCTTAAGTGGAAAATGTTTCTTTTCCATCTCTAGGTCCACAAGGTGCAGAGTTATTTTTTTTTTCTATTCCCTCCTGAAAGCTGCACTGCTACTGTGGGAGTTCATGGTGACTCTAGTGGAAAGCAGCTCCCAGGCCGTATCCAATTTGAGACAGCAGGAAGGCAGCACAAGGCTCCTTGGACGCTTCTTTCAAAATTACTCTGCTTAAATTAGAGAAAAGTAAGAAAGATTGGCGAGTGTCAGTACCCTTTCCTACACTCAGGAATTTGATCTGAACAAGCTCTGGGAACAGAGATTCTCGTCGAGCTGTCACAAAGCCCAGCAGCATCTCCAGCAGCACCTGCTGCTGTTTGACACTCAGGGTTTCCAGATGAGCCACACYGTGCCTGCCTACAGCACTTTGTGGTCAGGGCTCTACCCTTTAATTGTTCCAAATGAAGCGGAACATGTTTGTGGCTAATTAAGCAAAGTGCGCTAAGCTGTTCCATCTCGTGCTGCAACTTGGCAAAAGCAGAAGCCACACAGAGACACCTCAGACTTCTCTGCTTACATCACCACACAGCTGGTAGAGTTTGCATATGAAAAGCCGCCTGGGTTTCCACGCTGATGCTAAATGTATACAACCTAAATACCTTATTTTGGCCAACACAGCTAGCAATTCACTAATACAAAGTGTGTGTTGGCACCTATCCATCCTCACATGGAAACTGTTGCAGTACTTAAGATTTTTTGACTTGAGCTCAGGACCTCTCCAAGGACCAAGGGATATCATCCTATCCAACCTTAGTATGCAACATCATTAAGATGGTTCCTCCATTTAAGTATCCACATCACCACAGAAATCTGAGATGTGTAAACTGCCTTCATCAGAAACTATTTTCCCTACATAAAAACCATAACCAATTTATGAGACTTGATTCCAATCAGACTTTAAAAGCTAGATTGCGTGACATGAATAAAAGTGGAAGTAAAAAATTACTCAAGAGCCCACATGAAAGGAAAACATTAAGCAGTAATAACCTGTTGGTAAGAGAACTTTTTTTTTTAAAAAAGTGGTTACAGGTCATTAGAAGCAGGAAGGCAGCAGCAGGTAGAAGCTGTGGTTCAGTCTCATCTCTTGCCAGAACACACTCTCAAGCCTGCAAAAGCAATTGGCACTGTAGGTTCCTTCAGATGCTTTATTCCCATGGCACACTTCCCACATGTTCTTTACAGGACAAGCTTCATCGCTGCTATTTTTCCACAGAATGCCACAGCTCCTCACAC